AATCTATTTGGAACTGGTGAAGCACACTGAGGCTGGGCCACATCCAGGAGCCTGCTCAAGCTCACATTAGTAGAGGATGCTGGAGATGAACAGAACTGCGCAGACGATGAATAAGAGTAGGGAGGTCACGGAAATGAAGGGTGGGAAGATGTGTCCTAGACTGCAAAGACACAAAGTGGCAGGAGGATGAGATTCTAAGAAATGATCGCATCATAGGTAGAACACCATCAGAATGGATTAAAGGCATTATACCAAGATCAGGTCATTTATAGCCAGTGCATTGTTATAAAGAGATGTTACATAAGTATGGTATAGTTGACAGTGTTATATAAGTCAAAATAGCCAGAAGAAAAATTAAATGCCTCCACCCCAAATAAGTGATACATGTTTTAGATCATGAATAATCTAGATATCCTGATCCTGAGTCAATCATTATAATGTAAACATATACCAAAGTATTATGCTATATGCTAGAAATATATACATTATCATCTGTCAATCAAAAAATGAACTAATTTTTAAAAGAAGTGTTTGGGGATGGACAGGAATCTGATATCCACTAGGTCTGGTTCAGTGACTCTCAAATGTGTCCCTGATGACCAGAGACAGCATCTTCTGTGAACTTGTTGAAAGTACACATTCTTAGGCCCTACCCTAGACCTACAGAATCAGAAAATCTGGCAGGGTCAGCTGTCTGTGGCAGCAGCATGCTCTGCAGGTGATTTTAGTGCATGGTGAAGTCTGAAAATTACTGTGTCAGAGACCAAGGCTTTCACCACTAAACCTGCCATTTTCCCAGACAGAGTCTGTGGAACTTAGAGCATGCTTGGCTGTGGTACTTAGTGAGTCATCAAGTCACAGCATCTGTGAACAGATGGATGAGCTCATTGTCCTGGGTGTGGCTTTTTTATCCAATAATATGGTTTGGGTATGTTTAGTCACCACGGGTTTGTGTTCTAGAAACAAGGTCCCAGGATGATGGTGGTGAGAGGTGCTGGAGTTTTAAGGAATGGCCTATCTGGGGGGGGGGGGTGATTAGGTCATACATTCAATCCCTGAGGCAGAAGAGATCAATAGAGTTGTCACAGTAAGTTCATTCTCAGAAGAGAGGGTTGTTAGATAAGCCACCTCAGTGTCGGGTCCTTCTTCATGTGACGGACACCTTCCTTACTCACTGTGATGTGACACATCCAGACAACCCCTCCAGAATGTTTCTGCCATGCTGTTTAGATCTTTCAACCGTGCGTGTCATTAGCCAAATAAACCTCTTCACTTTGGACTACTCAGCCTGGGCTATTTGTCACAGCAACACAAAATGAACTTAAGACCACACAGCCAGACATCCTTACTCTGAGCCTGTCAATTACATATTGCCCCTTCGCACTGCTGCCTGTATTTATTTGGCTCAGTTCCCTGGATTGTTATGTGTCTTCTACTCAACTTGGCCAGTGTGGATAAGATCCACATTCATCCAATCTACTTTAATTAATAACCATTTAAGACAAAGTCTAAATCTGACTCACACAGAACAAGAAACAGGAGGGAGAGGAGAGATCAGAGATAAATCTTCCATAACTTATGAAATGGAAATTTTTCAGTGAAGGCAAATGTTACATCTGTAAAGTGGCTCAGAGCGAGTAGAGCCAAGCCAGCGTCAGCAGACTGACTCAAGCAACTGATTCTGAGTGTACCTTGAAGACAACAGAAGAAAAGCAAGAGAAGGATGCCCAACAATGTGATCTGCTGCTTCCACCACCCACTCTGTATCCAGGCAAATTCAAGATAAGAGTTTTATTAAACCAATAATACAACTGGAAACAAAGCTCCATCAATAAATTGAAACTCTGAAGAACCCTTCATGATAGAAAGCAGATGGGACCCACTTGAAAGAGGAAACCATCAATCAAATTCACACAGGAAAAGACTTGAAAAATCGAGAGCAGCTCTGTAGGCTCACACAAACCCACACATAGGGCTGTCATTGGTGGAGACAGTGAGTGTGGGTTTGAACCCCCGAGTTGGGTGATGGTCTGGAAGCCTTCAGCAGGAGATAGGAACCCCCCATTCAGGAGCATGATGTACGGACTCACTGAGACCCCTGCCATGCCATAGCAAAGAAATTCTGGAGGATAAAGAATGGCAGGTCTTAAGGCAAGCAGACACCAAAACCTGCCAAGTGTTGGGCAGTACAGGGCCAGAAAACACCCAAACCCACCACCTACTGGGGAGTATGGTGCCAGTAAGAGGAGAGCCACATTCAACAGCAAGACCAAGGAGATGTTGTTTGGGCATAAATCACACAAAGGTGATTCCCACAAAGCAAGCACAGGCTGGTATGAAAATGAGGATCACAGTTCTTTAAATATGCGATGCTTATGTGTGAGCATTTGCATACACCTCCTACTGCTGTTGTCACAAAACCCTTCACACATCCCAGAATCCTGCAAGACCAGTGGGCATACCTAAAGAAAATTTGGGCTCTGAAATTCTCCAAAAGGGAACAAAAAGGGAAAGTTGTGCACGGTAACTAAAAGTTAAGGAGCGTGAATAATTGCCTAGGTCTTCAGCATATCTAATGAAGTTCACGAAGGTAAGGAGGTGGAAGAAAGAAGCAATAGCAAAAGCATCCCCATTCTAGAGAGGGAAAGAGCTCACTTTGACTAGCAGTCCAATGAGTTCTCTGATATCAAGAAGCATTTGGTAGAACATACCCTGTAACATATTACCTGACCGCAAAGGGCACATTCCAAATACCCAGCATGCACCACAGGCTTCACCATGCATGCTCACCGCACCTCCAGAAATAGATAGCTTTTATAGTCCAAACCTACATCCGTGAAAAGAACATTCAATGTGTGTGTTCCCTTCCCCTCCCCACCAAATAATACCCTTTCCTGTGTTCAAGTGCTTAGCTCACCACTTTCCATTTCTTGAACAGGCTTTGTGGCACAGACAAAGCCACTCTGACAAAACCAAAAAGAGCAAATTTAAACTTCTCTCTGGCCACCGCGGTAACTGCGGGCTCTCCACATCTGATAAGGAAAGGTCAGTGTTGGAGGAGACCCACTCCAGGCTTTCTCTCCCAAAACCTGTTGCATGGAAACAATTACAGCAAGATATAAAGTCAAGGCTATTTTTGTATTTTATTTTAAAAAGTGGAAAGGGACTACTGGAAGACAGAAATTGTACATGTAACTTGTCAAAATTTGAAGACACTAAAAGGAAAGATGATAGTGAACCAGCCATTGCCAGATGGAGGGTTGGGAGAGAAGTGGGGATAAAATGGGAAGTGGTCAGAAACACGATACACATGTAATAAGTTCATGGCTGAACATGTCAGCCAAGATATAGTCAGAACACAGGGACAGAACTTCCTAGTCCAAACATGAAGTATCATGGAATGCTTCGAAAGACAAACAAGGATTTGTCTGCAGTAAAAGTATGCAGGAAGTGCGAAGCTTTGGCCATCAGGAGATGGGTCAGAATCTAACAGATAAAGTGCAAGCATAAACAATGCAGCAGGCATTCATACCAAATACAAAAAAAAAAACTAAATGTAGTGAACGGAGTACAGGGTAATTTTTCTTAATGGCATGTGTAATCACAGGTAAGGCACTGTGGTCAGGAGTGTCTGCACTTCCAATGCTAGTCTCCCAAGAAAGAAGGCAAGAGTAAAACACACAAGGGAAGTTGATTTAAAAATTGTTTGGTTTTGAAGAATTTTAACTCATTAAACAGGATTTTGAACACCAGAGAAATCAAATACAAAGACACAGGAGACCTGAAGAATATTAGCAAACCCAAAGAGCTGAATAGTAAAACGAATGAACTGGTCATATCCACTACAGGCTCAATGTTGTAGACTACAAAAGGGATGAAACACCTTCTTTAAAGTAGCCCATACTATGCCAGTGAATCTTAAATGTTAATGTGAATACAAATACCCCAGGTATCCTATGAAAATGAAAATTCTGATCACTCTGTGTGCTGTGGATGAAACTGTACTTACAGCACATTCCTAGTGATGCCAATGTTACCTGTGACCACACTGCAAATGTCAAAGTTGTAATTTGGATGTCTGCTATTCTTTGCATTTTTATTTCCCACCTCATTTTGAGGAAACCATCCTAAGTACCATTTGCAAGCCCAAAGCTTTAGGGTTTGGGAGTTCATGTGTTAAATTTCTATTAAATATCTTTAACTAATGTTAAAGAAAACACAATCATAGAGTACCTAATTTTATAAATAATCAGCATCACTGTCCTACTTAGAAACAGTTGTCAAACTGACACAGCCTAGAGTCACCTGAAAAGAGTCATAGTTGAGAGATTGTCCCTTTCATGTTGAAAAGAGAAAATAAAAGAAAATAGCCCATGTTAATGCAATAATCATACATGTCAATTACTAAGTAACTTTATAAGACATTTTAAGCCTTTGACAGTTAGGTTTTAAGGAAAGCTGAAATTCTAAAACCCTGTGCTCTGACTGCAATGCAATGGATTTGGGATGCAACGATAAAAGGGAAACAATTTTTAAGAATATGGAATACAAAGGTAGTCTTTCTACCAAAGACCCCCAGTGTGGACTAGCTAAGTGTGATGTGAATACCCCAAAGAATAGAAAATTTACTAGCTGCCTTCAGCTTATTACACAAGGCTAGCAGAACATTTAAACCTGAACTTAACAAAGAAAAACAAAACCAGTAAAGTGCACTTACAGAATTATTCTATTTGGGAATGTTGGTGTAGTATTGGTGTAAGGTATATTCGTAAGATATTTTCACATTGAACAAAGGAATAAATTCGAAGAATAATGCACCATCAACTACCCAAGATTTATTACTAGGAATGTGGAAATAAGTTGTTAGCATGAAATATACTAATATAATTTCTAGCAATTTGCCAAGGGAGAAAAATCTAAGTAACTATCAAATTATTAATTAAACAAACTGTAAGGAAATAAACAATTGTTCTAATGATTTCTCCACATTACAGAGGACATGTGTTAGAAATGCATGGCTGCCATCATACTCCGTGGCGAGTCACAAGAGAGCCCGGCAGAAAGGCTGGGAATGAAGCAAGGATGTCTGTGCTCAGAATGGAGACTCGGCATTGCTGGACAGCTATGTGCGGGCCACATCAGGAAAGGAAGTATGGGCTGGTCATCAGGGTGTGTAGCGTTTCCCTCACACACGTGAGCCTGTGAGGTCATCAGGGGTGTAGCGCTCCCCCACACACACACACATACACACATGAGCCTGTGGGGTCATCAGGGGTGTAGCGCTTCCCCACACACACATGTGAGCCTGTGGGGTCCATCTTCAGCATTAGAGAGAGTAAGCATGCTCAGTCTCAAAACCAGCACCATCGAACTTTTTCCCAAATTAATGCATAGTTTAGCTAAGTTCATATTCAAAGACATGTTTCAGAGAGCATCTGAGTTTATGGCTGTCTAAATAGCCTTGTGACTTCCAGATTAGGAATCTAGTTCTGGAGAGGCTGTCGGAGCAGGGCTCCTGAACCTCAGCGGGTCACAGAGCTGGAGTGCCTGTGAGACAGACCACAGATGCTCAAGGACCCAGCTATATACAGACATCTCTTTCAATCTACAGGAAAGGGACAAATTAACCATGAATGTGCCATGTCAGCCTCCTATTCATCTTAAGGGGAAAGTGTTACATTCCTCTCATTCTCAAATGAATTCCAGATGCTCTTAAGGTTTTAATGTAAAATATTGTAAAGGTAATAGAGTAAAATACAGAGTGAAAAATGATATGCCCAAGTTCTTTCTAAGCATGAAATAAAAATATGAACTAATATAAGGGAAGATTAATAGATGTTTATTCACAAATGTAAAGGGAAACCTTTTCCTTGTTAGCCGCTTTGGTTTATCACCCGCCAGTCGCCTGGGCTCTGCCGTGTTGTAGTCCCCAAATAAACACACAGGAGGCTATATTAATTATGAAGCTGTTGGCCTTGCTTGTTTCTTACTGGCTAGCTCTGACTTAAGTAATTACCCCATAATTGTTCATGTAAGTATTTCTCTTACCGGAGAATAGTTCCGGGCTTCCTACCCCATGGCGTTACATCTTGACTCTCTGTGTTTCTCCTTCCCAGAGTCCTCCTGGACTCCTAGTCCCACCTATCTAGATTCCTATTGGCCAGCAGTGCTTTATTGACATATACACAGGACTTCCCCAACATCTCCTCTTTCCTGTTTAAACAAAAAGAAAGGTCTTAACTTTAACATAGTCAAATTATATATAACAGAACAGTTATCAAGTAAGAACACAGTTACAATATTTTGTCAACATTTAGCAAGATTTAAAGAAAGTATCATCTATCCCATTCTTGTGAGTCCAAAGTCCTATATGTAGCTTATCTTTTATCATAATTAAGGAAAACTATAACTATAACTATCTGCCTTCAACTCTATCAAAGACCACAGAAGGATAATATATAAACACTAGGATTAACAGAGACATCTTGCTACCTGGACAGTCACCCAAAGTTCCTCTGTAACTTTGGGGCATCCATCTTCAGCCCATAGGCCACACTGTATCCAGAAGATTTCTCAGCAAAGCAGGAAATTTCAAAACTGTCCATCTGCATTGGCAGTCTGTCAGTCATTTTTCTGTGTCCTGCAGAAAGTCTCATAGACTCTTCCATGAAGCAGGAACCCTGTAAGACTGAGTTCAGCAGTCACTCTCCTGTGGGTCCATGTCCAGTTTATACAGCAACAGTCAAACAGTCTAGGCAAGAGCAGTTTCTTGCCCAAATGGCTAATCTTGCCATGTTGAAAGCAAACTCCATAACGAGTTTCTTCGATGCCCATCTTCCTCTCAGATATAATTGGTGCTGCCAGGAGCAGATATTTCTCATTGTCAAGAAAACCATTTTAATGCCATTTTCTGAAGGTCTTTGAAAGGTTTGAAGACTATCTATCTCAAATATATTTCTGTATATCTATAAAACCTAACTTACCTAACTATAAGTTCAGACTATTATAAATAACTATCTATAATCTGTATTTAATTATGTATTATGTTTTAAAAGATCAGTATAAGCACAATACTTAATCAAGAGGAGAAATATACACATCACAAAATTGACCTTGAATTTGTATCAATAAATGAAAAACAATACCCATACCATAATTCCCCTTTTTACCATTAAAAAGAGATTGGCAGTGATCACTAGCCAATTATAAACAACCACATTTAAATGAAAACAAAGATTTATAGACAAGATGGGAATTAGGACGTCGCTCATTCCAACTGCTTTGTGCTGGAAGGGGGCGCTGTTCATACCATGGGGATTATGACAAAACTCAGAAACCTGTATAAGTCCTTATTTTCAGGGTCTGTAAGACTGCATCATCTTAGCTGTTTCGATTGTTGGAACACTTGGTCCACTGCTTCTGGGGGTCATGGTTCCTCAAACCACAAAAGCCTGGAAGGAATCCTCAGCTTTTCATTTTCTGTCGAAACATAAATAAAACCTCCTTTCCCAAGTAACATATCCTTATACTTAAATTTTGAAGTCAAGGCATTTTCAAAAGATATAAGTTGAATTAATTCAGCAGCACTTATAATCAAGTGTACTTTAGCAGTTGTTCCTTCCTTAGCAATGAAAAAACTGAAAAACACAATAGCATACAGTATCCAGACTCTCCGTGTATTTTCCATCTTTACGTGGCTTATTTATTTATCTATTATTACTTTATTACTATTATTACTTTTATTTATTTTTCTCTGAGACAGGGTTTCTCTTTGGAAATCTGCCTGCCTCTGCCTCTGGAGTAAATCCTACTGGTATGTGCCACCACAACGCCGGCTTTTCTATTTATTTACCACTTTGCCATTTCATTTTCTCTCTCAATCTCACGTATATTTTTAAACACACTGTAAACCTTTAGAGGTTTTGTTCATCCAAGTCTGTCTTTATTGTAAATCTTTACATTTTTCTGGCCACGTGTCTTATCTGTAAAACCGCGGCTGTTTTAAACTGACGTTTTTTTTTCCAAGATGGCGGGCGTAAGCGTGACTCCAGCTGCTGGCTTGGAGATGGAAGACCCCTTAAGCCAACTGCGTGAATCTCTGCTTGCCGCTAGCAAAACAGAGCCCACCTGAGAAAATGTTGTAACCAAAAATCTGTGCTTCTCTCCGTTCTTCTGTTTCTAAAATTCCTTTAAAGCTTTTGTCATTCTACGTGGAAATTCATGATCCCACTTCTGATCACCATTCACAAATATTTAAAATGCTTCTTGCAGTAGAACAGAAATCTGCCATATACAAAGTTGAGATACAAGGAAAACTGGGGAGTTGTGAAGAGAATGGGCAGGAGGGGAATTGTTAATATTTTCACTTAAGACAATATTGCTAAACAGAAAGGAAAAAGAGAACACAATTTTCTAAAGTAAAGAGAGAATACAGAAAAAAACACAAATAAAATAAAAAGCATGATAAATGTCTCCATGGAATTTGGATATCCTTGCTCTTAAACTGCTGGGAACAGAGTCCCCACACCATATTAGACAAGGGAATGGATATCAGAAGTCTGCTGACCACTGTGCATGGCCTGTCCTGTGACAGTTGTCCACTATGCACATTCCTACATGCAGATGGCCATTGTTTGCTTTAGGATGAGTTTTTGGTTGAAAAAGGGAGAGAAATATTTTAAGTGATTATCAATTTAAGATTAAAGGAAACATATAATATCTTTAAAGTATGACACAGAAAAAAATTGCATATTTCACAAACCTCTATTTACTAAAATGAAAACTTGTCCATAACAAATATAATAAAAAGTTGAGTATGAGGATCTGTTTAGAAAAGTATGACCAGTATTTAAGTCATAGTGAACACTGGTGCTGTATTGGTGGCCAGACATTACTGTGAGGCAGCATTCATTTATTTGGTACAATATAAGAAGAAAGGTTGGATGTTGACCATTATTCCTAGCTGCCATTATCGGCTAATTTATCTCCTTATACAATATAGTTTTTAAATTTACTTGAGAAAACACTAAAATATTAACTATGGAGAGATTTAGAACAATTAGGTTTTTTATTTGGCTATATTTTTAGTTTCTCATGGTAGATGCATTAGTCAGTAGGGACATATTGGAGGCTTAAACATCAGAAATGCAATGAAGAGCTGCTTTCCCTGTGGTCTCTCCACTTGACTGTACATTGTCTGCTTAATTAAATTTAGAATCACATGGAAACATGTCTGATGTCTACAAGGGTGTTTCCAGGAAGGTTTACCTGAAGAGGGAAGACTCACCTTGAGTTTGAATGTGAGTGACCCTGTTAGGTTGGGTGGGGTCTAGGGCTGAACAGGAAGGAGACAGTGACGTCATCACCATGTTCATCACACTCTGCCTCTTGATGGCAGGTACCTCATACTTCTGTAGCCAGGATGTCCCCACAATCTCTATCATGACAGGCTTTACCCTGAAACTATGAGACAGGAAAATTTCTTCCTTCTTGAAGTAGTTTGGTCTGGTATTTAGTCACAGCAATGAGATAAGTAATGGGTACAGTCTCTTGCTGGTGGTTGTCTTCTCATAAGGGCATCAATCATGTTGGATTAGGACCTATCCCTAGCAATCTAATGTAGTTTAATTTCCTCTGTAAAGATCCTGTTTCTAAATGCCCCCATACGCTGAAATCTCTGGGTGTTAGAACTCAATCCATGAACTTGAAGAAGGGTCATTTTAGCCCATTCACTGGTAATATGCTATTTCTATACAAAATTCTCCTTTACCCTCAGTTTAGCTTTCTGTTATCTTAGTTATCCACTGTCAACCAGGATCCAATGATACCAAGTGGAACATTCCAGAAATGTAGAATTCTCAAGTGTTAAATAACTTTCCAGCCGGGCGTTGGTGGTGCACACCTTTAATCCCAGCACTCAGGAGGCAGAGGCAGGCGGATCTCTGTGAGTCTGAGGTCAGCCTGGTCTACAAGAGCTAGTTTCAGGACAGCCTCTAAAACAATACAGAGAAACCCTGTCTCAAAAAAAAACCTTTCCTTACAACTGATGATTATTGTTATTATTCCACTTCACTGCTAATCTCTCAATTTGCCTTATTTGAAAATAAAATTTTGTCATATGTATGTGTTTCCTAGAAAAACCCACTACATGGAGAGCTTGATTCCACATGTGGTTCTAAGCTGCCATAGGGCCTTGCAGAGCACCGTGTGGGTAAGGGAGAATGACTGTAACTGAGGAAAATGCTAAACCAGAGACACAAAGGGCCTTGCAGAGCACCGTGTGGGTAAGTGAGAGTGACTGTAACTGAGGAAAATGCTAAACCAGAGACACAAAGGGCCTTGCAGAGCACCGTGTGGGTAAGGGAGAATGACTGTAACTGAGGAAAATGCTAAACCAGAGATACAAAGGAGAGAGGAGAAGCTGAAGGAGAATCTTTTCTCCAGCAATATGCCTGCCTTCCTTCCCCTGAAGAACGGTGGGGTAAGGAGGCATGAGCCATGCACTTCATGAGCCATGCGCAGTCCATGGCCTGACTCCTGCCGTACAGGTGTGCGGCGGTGGACAGGTGATGGTTAACTCTCTCACTCACGCTGGCATGCACCTGGCAGCTTGTGCCAGGCAGTCACCTGCTCAGAGTCTGACCCAAACGTTGAATCTTTTCCCAGGGCGGCCTTGGCATCTTGGAAAGAATTGCAGAAGAATTTTCACAGTGACCTGATTTTGAGTGGCTCAGCTCTCGGGAGCTGGATATCTGGGGTAAAATCCTCCTGTGGATGGTGAATGTGAGCTTTAATCTATCACCAAGGACTATGCTGTGTTATGCACCTGTGTGTTCAAATTACTTATTGAAGTATTTTTAATGTGAGCTCTGTGATTACTAAGGTGGTTTGTGATTTATTTCCCTTAGAGACATGATTGAGGTCCAACAGCTACAGGGAGGCCATAGAGGCCATGGGCAATCTCCTTCCTTGGAGAGGCTGGTGGAAAGCTATTTACAAGTCCATCCCTGCCCCCCATCCCCCTTGCACCCACATTTCTTGCCTCTGTGTAGTGTGAACATTCACAACCTGACCTCTGGCTACAAGAAAGGAAGTCACAGTCCTACATCTCCCATGAGTTCCTTGGATGATGCTGATGCTGGATAAAGATGAGGCCCTCAACTTTGCCAGAAGTAAAGTGAATAAGTGATGGAGAGATAAGTATGAAGTGAAGGAGTAATACAAAGAGAGCCTGAAGGAACATGCCCAGAAGCAATGTAATAGAAATCAAGGAATTTTAACTATGTTCTCTGGGTTTGTATCATACTCTAGGAGGCTCAGTTGAGGGCCATCTCTGCAGCAGGGGACCCAGTGTAGTATGTCCCTCCTCTTCTGAGTTCAGAGATGCCTGTTGAACAAAAGAATGAGTGAATAAATGTGTGCATAAGAAAAGAGGTGAATGTGTAGATAAATAAATGAATAAACACATAAGGATGTGCACAAGGATTGATTAAGTTATTTTAGGCTAGTGAGATGACTCAGCAGGTAAAGGCACTTATTGCCAAGTCTGATGACCTGAATTCAATCCTCAGAAACCACATGATAGGAGAGAGTCAACTTCATTTTGTTCTCTCTCTCTCTCTCTCTCTCTCTCTCTCTCTCTCTCTCTCTCTCTCTCTCTCTCTCTCTCTCTCTACACACACACACACACACACACACACACACACACAGGCACTAATTTGCTATTCTGGTTAGTTTTTGACAATTAAACCCAAACCTAGAAATATATGGGAAGAGAGACTCTTAACTGAGAAAATGCCTCCATAAGATTGGCCTGTAGGCGTGGGCTATTATCTTAATTAATGATTGATGTGGGAGGACTCTGCTCACTGTGCATGGTATCACCTTGGGCAGGTGGTCCTTAAGTAAGGAGGCTGAGCAAACCATGAGGAGCAAGCCAGAATCACCCTTCCATGGCCTCTGCTTCAGTTCCTGCCTCCAAGAACCTGCCTAGAGTTTCTGCCCTGACTTCTCTCAGTGACAAACTGTGACCTGAGAGTTGTAAGAAGAAATAAACCATTTCTTTCTCAAGTTTCTCTTGGTCATGGTGTTTTATGACTGCAATAGGAACTCTTAGCTAAAACCCATGCTTATACACACACCACACACACACATACACATACACATACACATACATACACACGGGGGGGGGGATTAAATAAATAAATGTAAAATTCTAATTTAAATAAAGGTGTTTTTTGTTGTAAACCAATTATTACTGCTCATGTTATTATTTTCTTACTCCTCATCCTACATTAATCAGGCTACTTTTTGCTTAAAGATGCCTAATTACAGTAGACTAAGTCACTTTACACTTCGTCAGCCTTGGTGACAGACATAGCTTCAAGCTGGAGCCCTGGCTCTGCGCCCAGGAATTACATGTGCTCAGTGGTTCTGGCTCATTGCAGTTGGTACACTGGCTTGGCTTGTACTTCTTGCTTTGAGATAAGTAACTGCCCATAATTCCTGGAGTGGAGACCCCGCTGACCGCACTCTGATGAGCTGTGGTGGTGCTGATGTTGGGTGTTTGTGTGTGTTCATGCACATAGCATCATGAGGAACAGGTGAAGATGGCCATGGCTTACTCAGCCACCTGCTTCCCACTGCCCGAACCTAATTAATCTCCCCGTGCCAGATATATGTTGGTTCTGAGCCAAGTGCACATAGCATAGTGTTGACCTAGTCAACCAGACAGAGGTGGGATCTAGACTCAGTACAGAGAAGTCAAGGCTGGGACAGTGAGAAGAATGGTAGCTTTCCTGGAATGTTCCTAGACTCTTGGGCAGACTAGCAAGTGTCAAGTAGGCTCTTCTTGAGAAAAAGCTCAAGATCATTTTAGCAGCCCTGAGAATGAAATAACAAAATCTATATGGAAAAAGGTCAGGACAACGTGAATGTTTGGGCAGAATGACAGAGAAGTCTCTGAAAGAACATTGACATGAGGACACAATGCTGTGGAGGTGCTCGGCTTTCTCACCGAAGGACCAAAGTCCTCAATGTGCCTGCAGTGGAGTCATTTTAAAGTTGGCGTTAGCACATCACAGGAGGAGCAGACCTTTGGAAGATCCACCATCAGCTCTCTGTAATACTGCCACCAAATCCATAAGGAAAAGGTAAGGAACACACTGCAGATAGCCACACGTTCACTTACTTGCCCTTCCCCCATCTCTTCACCCTGCATAAGCACAGCCCAGGTGCCCTGTGCAGTGAGGCTGAATTTCTGAGGAGGTGGTAGAAGGGAACTAATAGGATTATCTGCTAGTGATGCCTGCCAAGAGCAGCTCATTGTTGCTGAGGGCTCCCACCGCCCTCCATGCAGCACAAGCATTTGCTCCCCATAGTGAAATGGTTTTAATAAGCTATGTGAAACCAAGTATTATTAAATAAATTATGCCAATTTGAAGCTCTGCCTGGGTGGGCTTCAAGTCTGCTCCACTTGGGATTTAGCAGGGTGGATGAAGATGCATCGGCTGGGATTACCATGTGCCCTTAGGTGCCGTTTTAATCCCAAATTGTTGAGTCTTCCTGAGACTTCTTTGTGTATAAATAACATGGTAATTGTCCAGAGAGCTAACAGGTGCAAATCCCCATGATGGTGTCTTGTCACATACAGGCTGCTCACTCAGGCCAGCTGCCATTGTCATCACTGCTAATGCTGTCATTAGACTGTCAGTCACCGAATAGGGTGATGATGCAAAGCTTCATGTGTCTTAGCTATTTTGTTCCTTGATGATGATATTTGCAAGTTAGGAGGGTCAGAGTCCAAAACGGCGGGGGCAATTCCTAGAGGGGGAAAAAGTGAGGGAGGGAGAAAGGAATTGCTGGGCGTGACAAGATTCGGTCCTAGGACAACCCTTCTATAGTTTATTAGTGTAAATCAGGCCATGTGCAAAAGGTTTTATTCACAATCAGTAGAGGGACTCAGATGTGACGGCCAGGAATATTAAGAATAAAAATTGATGGAATTTTACTTTTAGTAAATCTGAACATTTTGCACAAGGTAATGAGAGTCTTTCCCTTTGTTCTTTAAAAATCTCAAAACATGGCTAACTTTATACACACCAAGAGCATGAGAGTGCACAAGAAGCTGATGAGAGTCGTTTGATGGGGTCTGACATGAAAGGAATCCCCACCAAGTGTTACTTCCCCAGGGACAGCCCAGAGGCCATCACTCCATCCACTAGACACAGTGCTGTCAGAAGCAAGGGGCACCAGGGTTACACTAGACCAGCCACTGCTTCTCGGAGGACAGATCAGAGCAGTCACCCCTCCCCCTGGGTGGACAGCACGCGGTGGATATAGTTTCACTCTTCAGATATTATCATGTCCTTTTAAACTGTTGAAGGAAGTTGTCTAAGACAGCCATGCTTCCAGAAACTGGGTGGTTACTGGCCTCAGTTCTCCAGTCTGCTCTACACGCACTGATACCGGACTTGAAATAGGAAAATACAGACTGAGTTACATGGGGAGAGGAAGAAGCGGAAGGCTCATTTGCCCAGTGTCATGTGAACAACCAGTAAGTGGAATGGGAAGCAAGGGTGAGCATGTTGGCCACGGTTATGCGATCACCAACGAAGGTGATAGAGATAATCTAATTCTCAAACATTTCAAAGCACAGAAGATGGGGAGGCTTGGTTCTGATCTTGTTGCATGATTGACAGAATGTGAAGAAATGTATCAACGGAGTTAAGGCATTGTTTAGCTAGGAAGGTGGGGGATCCTTCTGAACCATCAATGACAGAAAGAGGGGAAAATCTCTGAAAGATGATTGACAGCCTGCAAAATGGGACAATGCCACTCCAACCCACTAGAAGGCAAAGATGTCCTAAGAGGAAAGAGTATCGAGTCTACCTTCCATGCCCTAGCTGAGCAACACTTGTGCCCTCAGAGAGTGGCTGAGCTCAGTGCAGACAGGGTAACTTACCACCCGTGACAGCCCAGAAAAGGATCAACATTCAAATTTCATATTACAGTTTCCACCAAGTGTATGTTACTTTGACAACACTGTAAAAAAGATGAAAACTGCAAGTTGAAGCATCATCACATAGGGATCACTGGGATTGAGTCCCCTGGTAAGAATCTGTTGATTGCTATTCTAAGCCCTTTCTATTTGATTTGTTTGAATATTGTGCATAATATTAAGTTTTAAGTGACCTAAAGCCGATTTCCTAGATTTATACTCTATCGACACTTGCTGCCTTCTCACAATGAATATTCCATAGGGAAATCCCTGGAAAAGTTACCAC